AATGAACATCCTTGGTACCAGCAGTCAAGAGGTCAGACAATATATTGCTGTGTGTTGCAAACTGCATTCCTTTACACAATGCCTGGAAGAAATGACCATAAAGAGACAAACACACATAGAAGACAAAACAGGACTGCAGCAAAGAAAGACACACTCACACAGATGAGACAAAAACTGCACCCTCAAGGGTCTGCATTGTTTTAATTTTAATAGGGGTATAAGCAATGATCTCATTTTTCATAGAATCATAAAAGGTGGGTACAGAAACAATCGAACAAGGGAGGATAAACACTCTGTTCCTTATGATAGATGTTGCTTTTCATATGAAAGGAGTTAGGGTACTGAGACAACCAAGACATTCTCTTAGTGGGAAGAGAGACCTCCAAGTTCCCAACCAGTGTGCAGGACAAAGGACAAAGGTTTCTCTTTAATTATTAAACCTGAAAGTTACGGCCTCTGGTCCTCCTCAGCTTTGGGCAAGACAGCTGTCAAAATAATGAAGAGCAAAGATCAAAATACTGATGTCACTTTCAAGATCAAGGTGTACCTGATTCAGGTCATGGTCTTTTCAATTACTTGCTATACTTCTGAGAACTGGGCAACTGATAAGGAAGAGAGAAGCAGAATTGATGTCTTTGAGTTGTGGTGCTGGAGGAGAATACTAAATATCCCATAGACTGTCAAAAGAACAAACAGGTATATCTTGGAAAAGGTACAAGCAGAATGCTCCTTGGAAACAAGGGTGGAAAAGCTTTGTATCTCCTACTTTGGACATGTTGCTAAGAAAGTGGTTCCCTGGAAAGGGATATCATGCTTGGAACAGTGGAGGAAGAGCCCCACTGTGGTGGATGTACACAGTGACTGCAGCAACGGGATTAAGTATATCAGAGATGATGAAGATAAGACAGGATTCAGGTGCATTGTTCATATGAGTCACTCTGGACTGGACGGCACCTAACAACAACAAAAAAACATACCAAAAGAATGTGTTCACTATCTTTGCTTCTAAGGAGCATTCTGGTTAACGTTTTCTCCAAGACATATGTGTTCTTTTAACAGTCCTTGAGATATTTACGGGATATTCTTCTCTTGCAAGTCAAAACTATCAGTTCTTCTCCTTAATCATTGTGCAGCTCTCAGACGCATAGCAAGTGATTGAAAAGATGAATACTTGAATAAGGCACAAAAGTATGCCAAGTCTAAAGTTGAAAACATTTCCTTCACCCTCTGCTTTAGACTTCATACTGCCCCATGTCGGTCTACTTATGTTTCAAGCTTGCCTGTTATTGCCATAATTAGATGAACATAGTGTAGTACAAAGTGTAAAGTTGAAGGTGAAGCAGACATAGAGTAAACCCTCTGACAAAACAACATCCACTCTCTACAACTGAACACTAAAAGGTTAACTCTTTGGTGTTCTAAACTTAAAACCTCACTGCTGCCAAGTCAATTAATTCTCCCATTGGGTTTTCCATGCTGTAAATATTTATGAGAGGTGACTTCCCATTTTTCCCCTGAAAAGGACCTGGTGGATATGAACCATCAACATTGCAGGTAGCAGATCAACACAAAATGCACCTCCCCACCAGAGCTCTTGTGGTGTTGCAAAGGTACATAGAAAGCAACACATACGAAAACCAGGTCAACCTCTGACAAGAGCACTAGATTAATATGGCCTCTCACATAAAGATCCTAGCAAAAGGAAAAGTAAAATTGTTTTGTGGCGTGAATAAAATGAACTTCAACAATGAGTCCAAAAATATGTATGATTACTGGGAAAGGTCATTGACTAAGGGAAGTATGTTGTTGTGTGCTTGTCAGGTAGGATTGACTCATAACTGACCATCTAGTGGGTTTTCGGAGGTAGTAAATCACACTAAGGAGAGAGTCCATTCTTCTGTAGAGCAGCTGGTGGATTGAAACATCCACCTTTAGAATTGCAACACAGTATCTTACCAATTTCATCAGAGCACAACAAATGATGGCGATTGATTTTGAGACAATTATGTACATGCATAGATATAGAATTGGTAATAGTTGGGGACAGAGACACTTATGACAATAATGGAAAAAGGGGGAAAGTACAGCTGCTGGGGCTGCTTATGTATAAGCAAAACCTCACAGAACTCTGTTCCTGGCTATGTAGTTGTGGTTTAGTGAGTCTATTATTCAAATGGTTTCCTATATTCAGATGGCCAACAGACACATGAAGAAATGCTCAAAATCACTGGCAATAAGAGAGATGGAAATCAAAACCACAATGAGATACCATCTCACCCTAATACCAACAGTGAAGTTTAACAAGGCAGCAAGTAATAAATATTAGAGAGCATGTGGCCAGGTAGGTACTCTTATACATTGTTGGTGAGATTGTAAAATGGTACAATGACTCTGGAAGGCAGTTTGGCATTTCCTCAAAAAGCTAAACACAGAAATTCCCTATGAGGGAGCTATTCCACTGTTTGGAATATACTCCAAGAAAATGAGAACTGAGACACAGAGATAAGTAATTTGGTGTCTTGCTTAGTGATAGGAAATTGTGCTGCCAAATCACAGGCTTGTATTTTGAATGTACAACATAGATTGCATAATGCTCCAGGAACAAACTTAACAACAGATTAATTTTATCCTTATCTGTGAATCAAAGTCCACTCAGAAGAGACTACAACAGTTGGAGCAATTGGTCACTTCTATTCAATAGAATCGCAAACTCAACAGCAGAGAGTATTATATAAATTCAGAATTGTAAAACAATTGTGCTTGGGTAACAAGAGAAGGTGCAATGGAACTGGTCATGGCCTTGGTGGTCTGTGTCTATTTTCTGCTTCTCCTTTCACTCTGGAAACAGAGCCATGCGAAAGGGAAGCTCCCACCTGGCCCCACTCCTCTTCCAATCATCGGAAATAGCCTACAGATCAATTTTAAGAATATCAGCAAATCTTTAAGTGATGTAAGTATACCTTACACTTTTTCGGTATGTATGCAGAAGGATGTAGTCATGATTTTCAGAAAAACTTCGTTCTTGAAATATAGCATTGCTACATCATTGTAAACAAAATAGTCCCTATATATTATACTGTTTCTAGTGTTGCCTTAAGCCTGTCAGTTCTTAAATATAAGAATGAACTAATACATTTTGAAAGAAGATAAATTAATATTTATATTAATATGTACATAGAGACTCTATATATGGGTCACAAGTGACTCAACTGGACATAACGATATAAAATGTACAATTCTTTCTACTTGTTACTGTGTGTTGTCCTGGTGCAGTGTCAATTGTGCCAGCTAAAATTTCTGTGTTGGTAATAACTACGAATCTGAACCAGGGTTAGCTAGTGATGATCCAGAAATAAAACAAAACCATACTTCTAATATCTATGATTATTATGCTTAATCAAGTCTCTACCAGAAAATATTTGCAGGTGATCCTTAATTCGTTGTCTTGGTAATGGTTCAAATGACTGCTCGGGAGACTAAGCATCAGAGATGGATGCAGGGTTCAAATTTAGATCTTCTATTTAATCTGTTGGCCACTTGGAATTAAGTTTATCTGAAATTCATTTCTTTATCTATAAATGATGGTTAAAAATATGCCAAAAATGCAATAAGAGAGATGCACATCAAAACTACAATGTGATACTATCTCACTCGAGACACAGTGGCAAAGTTGAACAGAACAGCAAGTAATAAATGTTAGAGAGGATGTGCAGAGATAGGAACTACAACTGGAAGGCAGTGTTTTGTTCGTTTGTTTGTTTTGGGGTTTTTTTGGAAGGCACTTTTGATCTTCCCCAAAAAGCAGAATATAGACCTTCCATATGACCCAGCTACTCCTCAATTACTTGTTATGCTTTAGAGAGTTGGACAAAGACTAATGATGATAGAAGAAGATAGATGCCTTTGACTTGTGATGCTGGAGAAGAGTCTTGAACATACCATGGACTACCAAGAAACCAAGTACATCTGTCTTGGAGAGGGTGAAACCAAGTCTCTCCTTGGAGGCTAGGATTTTAAAGCTCCTCCTCAGTTAATTTGGGCACATGGCCAGGACAGGTCAGTCCTTGGAGAAGGAAATCATGCACAGAAGTGTAGACAGACAGTGCAGGAGAGAGACAGTAACTGGGGCGATGGTGGTTGGTGTGTCAGAATTAGTGAGACTGCCTCAGGACACGGAAGATTCAGAGCTGCTGCACATAGGCTTCGCATGCAGGCGACTCAACCAGAAACATTCCATAACAGATTTAGAAGAACGAATGGCATCGACTTCCTAAACAACATACCTCTGGAGACTCTATGAACTTCAATAAATGTCGATGGTTGTAGAGAGGCTTTGATAGGGTCACTATGAGTCATGCTGGAGTCGAAGTAACCAACAACAACAACTCGACTGCTTGGAATATTCCCTGAGAAAATGAGAATGGAGGCACAAATGAAGATTTGTACACCAATGCTCATCGCAGTGTTATTCACCATTGCGTGAACATGAAAACAGCCCATATATCCAGCCAATCATGAATCAACTGAGAAGCTGTAGTCCATTCATTCAACGGAATACTATGCAGCATGTAGGAGCAACGATTTTGTAAATTATTACCTACCTTGGAGGGACGGGATAGCATTATGTGGAGTGAATGAATTCAGTTCTACAAGGACAAACATTGTATAAAACCATTACTGCAGAATGAGGATGAAGAGGTAAAGGGGGTTGGAGTGGAAGCAGAGGGATGAGGATGTGTGGGGTGTGAGGATTAATCATGGGGTTGTACAATTTGATCGAGGGTAGTGAGGGAAATTGGAAGAATCTGGTCTGAAAAACAAGTATTCAAATTTTGTAAATAAACTAGTATAAATTTTAAAAATTCCCAATGTATTGGCATAACGATTAGTTGCAATAATGTGAAGACTAAGTTCACAGTTTACTGCCTGGCGCATTGAAGTCCCTGGTTGAGTGACAGTTAAAATGTATGAATTCTAACATCCATCTTTAAAAGAAAGTTCTGTCTTCTTCCATATAGATTTACAGCCAGCGAAAGCCTGCAGAGAAGGTCTACTCTGTTCAAAGGTCACTATGAGTCTGAATGAACTTGCTAGCAATGAGTTTTACTTTCAACACTATTTACAAATATTTTCTGGAAAACGTTAATTACTATATTGTTGTTGTTGTGTACCTTTGAGTTTGAACCAACCCATAGTTGACCCTCTGGTGAGTTTTCAGAGGCAGTTAATAGCCTGAGAGGAGATGGCTAGTACTTCTCCCACAGAGGAACTGGTGGATTTGAACCATGTGCCTTCAGGATTGAGGTACAGCTTCTTGGCAATTGACCATTAGACCTCCCTAATTAATATGTAGGGTAATGCTGATACAATTGTATAAAAATACAAAGTGTATGTAGGCTAATTACACTCTGATGGCCCAGTAGGTAGGGAGTGCACTGGCAACCCAAAGGCAAGTACTTCAAATCCACCAGTTGCTCCACAGGAGAAAAATGGATAATGTCCTGTGCAATTATAGCTTCTGAGCTATGAGTCAGTTCTCACATAACAGCAATGAGAGAGAAAGAAAAAACATATGGATAAAATTGAGAATTATTGAAATTTTGTGTATCAAAATGAAACATTAACCATATAACTTTACCAAAGTGAATTTTGCACAACATAGCGAACAAAGACCTACTTCTTTTGCTAAAATTGTATCTCCATTCTTTTTCCTAGTTCTCAGAAACCTATGGCCCTGTGTTCACTCTGTATTTTGGCATGAAACCCACAGTGGTTTTGCATGGCTATGAAGCAATGAAAGAAGCCTTGTTAGATAAAGGAGAGGATTTTTCTGGAAGAGGCTATGTCCCAGTGTTTGAAAGGACGAATAAAAACCGTGGTATGTGTGTGCAGTACTAATGGCAAGGAGTGCCCTGCAGAGATTGAGGCCCAGCCTCATAATTGTCCAAATGTCCACTTTCTTGCCCAATATCTCTTTTCTGTTCTCTCTTACCCCTTTTGACAGGAGTCATTTTCAGCAATGGAAAGACATGGAAAGACATCAGACGCTTCTCTCTCATGACTCTGCGGGATTTCGGAATGGGCAAGAGAAGCATTGAGGAATGTGTTCAACAGGAAGCCCGAACTCTCATTGAGGAACTGAGAAAAACCAATGGTAGGTGATTCTTTATTCAGTATCTCTCACCTTAACAGACCGCTCTCTTTTCTATCAGCAGTTTTAACTTCCCCAAAGCAACTCACTGCAGCGAAAAGCCTAGGCCTAGAGACTCTTGGTTTGATTTCCATGAGTCAGAAAACCTAGTTGACTGACATAATCCCAAAAGCACTCACTCCACCCCCATGCTTCCCGAACAAAGGTACTCAGCTTATCACTGGGCCATGGCATGGATCCAATTTTGATCCCCTCAAATATAGGTATATAATGATGTAAAGTGGAAACTATGCAATGTACAGCCCATAATCAGATAAACTAAATAGCTGTACAAGGGTTCCAGGTGGAAATCAACTCTTCCTTAAAGGTCACCAAAGCGCAAACAAGAGAGGGATAAGGAGTTTCACTTTATGTGGCCTACACCCCTTTCTCTAGAGATGAAAGATTTATTCTCTGATAATTCTTTTTACAAATATTCAACATGATCCCTGATTAGTCCATAGACGAGGACCCTGTGTAGAGTTAACATTTGTGGGGTTTTTTTAATTAAAGGTATTTGCTACATAACTAGAAAGCACCTAACAACAACCACAAATATTCCTGCCTATCTTTTTCCTGTGGAGCTGCTGTGGACTTGAAGAGTCAGATTTAAGTGTCTTCTTTGAGTTAGCAGTGTAACCAATGATCCTATTGTTTTGTTTTTAAAAAAAATTTTTTTACTGGTTTACACACAAACTTCATAATAAAGTTGTTTTTCATACACACACACACACACACACACAAAGATATTTGCAATGAGTAATCAATTAATTGTATGAAATTCAGTTTCACAATCTCTGTCCTCATTTTTGTCACCAAGTACATAAACTCCAAATACTAGTACTTCTTTGCTTCCAAATTTTGCATTCCAGCCACCTATTATTATTAAGAATCTTCACTGCATGACAATTGATTTCAAGCTGCAAAAGTTGGTTATTGTTGTTGTTGTTGTTATGTGCTATTAAGTCTATTATGACTTCTACCAACCCTATGAACAGCGGGTCTGAACCATGTCCTATCCTGTGCCATCCTTACACTTCCTGACAGACTAGAGCCCACCACGGAAGACACCATATCAAACAACATGGTTAAGTGTCTTCTCCTTCGACAATCCTCCACTCTGCCAAGTATCATGTAGAAATTTTCAATGTCCTCCTCTTTAACTTTAGTTATTGATGCCTATATTTCACTAATATTCGTATTGACAGAAAGTCATCTTAGAAGAAAGAAAAAGATCATTACAAAACAAAAATTAAAAATATCAAAATAGATCTAGAAGATCTTTAGCTTTAGCTTTAGCTTCTAATGCACTGAAAATTGTGCTAGACAGAAGATTTCAAAGGACAATTCAAGAAGTCAAAGCATAGTATTATAACAAAATGTACACATCACTAGAGGTGGATAATATAAAAACAAGAATAACTTGTTGGGCATTTCTAAAGCTGGAAGAACTAAAAAATTCAAGTCTCAACTTGCAATACAGAAGAATGCTATCTTGAATGATGCAGGAAACATTAGAAAAAGATGAATGGAATATCTAGTGTCACTATACCAAAAAAATATTGGCTGACACACAACGATTTTAGGAGATAGTATGTGGTCAAGAACCAAAAATAATGAAGAATGGAGTTCAATCTATACAAAAGGCACTGACAAAAAAAATAAGGCTTCAAAAATCAGTTGAGTACCAA